GGTGGCGCGTGCCTGTAGTCCCAGCTACTCGGGAGGCTGAGAGCAGGGATTCGCTTGAGCCAGGAGTTGGAGGTTGCTGTGAGCTAAGCTGACGCCACGGCACTCACTCTAGCCTGGACAACAAAGGAGACTCTGTCTCAAAAAAAATAAATAAATAAAAAATAATAATAAATAAAATAAAAATGATTGGGGATAATTAAAACCAGAAAACCACCCTGACAAGTCATTAGTTTCTGTGACCTGGCTCTTGGAGTCACTCTGCTTCCTCAGGATTTTTTGTTTTGCTTTGTTTTACCATCATTTCTTCAATATATTTTAATAACTTTTCTATTTGTTCGGGGGGTAGCCAACATAGATTGTTGTGTTCTTAATCAGTGAATCCAAACTAATGCACTTACGTGTTAGATGCTCTGGAAAAATAATAAAACCAGGACCTGTGCCCCTTCCTTAGGCTGTAACCTAAAGTACCTGTGCAATTGCTTAAAAATGAAATCGATATGAAAACAGTCCCAAATATTTCAGTTCTAGAATTCCCTTTACTCTCTGGTATTTGCATAATTAACTGATTACTAAATTTTGGGCTTCTAAGAGTTGGTTATAAATAAGTGAAGCGAGTGACGCCCAAATAATGAGCCTTACTTTAGAAACGTTCTAAATAATTTAATGATACAGCCTCACATATTTTAACTATAACCTCATTCGCTATTTTCTATTTGAATTCCTGATTCCAGGGTGGTAAGTATTACCCCGAACACTGATTAGTTCTTTTATCTTTCATTGATTTCATTCAAATATGTTTTGAGTGCCTACTGTGTGCCATACTCTCATTCTTGACATTGGTGTACAGTGGTGAGCAAAACAGGTGTGCACCCTGCCCTCACTGGGATTATAGTCGAATGCAGAAGATATGCATGAGTCAGATAATCACATACTTAAGTGAAGAATTATAAATTGTCATCGGAGCCATGGGTAAAAGTGAGAGAATGAATGGTTAGGGAAGGGCTCTTGGGGGAGGTAGCATTTTTGCTGATACCTAACAAGACCTAAAATAGCATTTGAGTTGGGTGAAGTGCAGGGAAACAACAGGAACAAAAAATACATCCATTAAAAGATACGGTAAATGCCGCTCCTGATGTGATACTAAGTGTAAACTAAAATAAAATTTTAAGGCTCACTCCACACACCGGCTGACTGGAATGATCCCTTAGTGGCCAAAGGAATATCCTAAAATTAAATTGTCTGCCAGGAGGAGGAGCTCAGACAGCCTCATATCATGCCCCCTCCCTTCTTGGGACATCCTTTGTGACCATTAACAGGCTAAGGGTATGCAAGACACAGCTGCAGTTCCTCATTTATACAAGACAATCTATGTCTGGTGCTTATCTCGATAACAGTTCCTTATGTTAAAACACCCCAAGCCTTAGACAAAGCTTCACGTCTTTTAACCAATTACAAGCCCAAAGAATCTTTAAACTCACCTATAACCTGTAAACCCCCACTTCGGAGATGGTCACCTTCTTTTGGGGGCCAAGCCAATGTATGTCTCCCACGTATTAACTGATGACTTTACCTGTAACCCCTGCCTCCCTGAAACGTATAAAACCAAACTGTAACCCAGCCACTTGCTCAAGGCCTCTTGGGAGTGGCTCTGGGCCATGGTCCTCAAATCTGGCTCAGAATCAATCTCTTTAAAATTATTTTACAGAGTTTGGCTTTTTTTTTTTTTTCCCCGTTGACACAAGCTCAAGGCATCAGATAAATTGAAAGAGGGAAATATAAGGGCATCATTGCATGAGGCCGAATAGGTCACCTTAGGGCTTTCAGATTTTATTCCAAGAACAATGGGACACCACTAAAGGGTTTTACTCAAGAGAGAGCAAAAAAAAAAAAAGATGATATTCTGAACTATAAGAAAGGCATACAGTCATCACTTAAGGTCAGAGTCCCAAGATTATAGCATATTTCTTTTTCTTTTGGTCAACTAAAATAAAGGATGCTGGGTGTCGAAGAGTAATTATTCCTCCAGCCTGTCTCAAGCCCTCATTAACCATCCACCACTGATCCTGCCAAACAGAGCAAAAGCAGGTTTTTCATCCTCCCTGGCTGCCCATCGAAAGAGAACAGGTGGGAGTCCCCCTCCTGCCATGGGTCATTCATTAATCTGCTCATCGCCGCCTGTCTTCTAGGCACGAAGGGGCTCACGGAGGCACTGCTAGCAGAAGACATTTCCCCACCCGCAAAGGGTTCCAGGATCCTTCAGAGGCAGGAAAACCACTCACCAAACTCTTGCTTTCAATGACCAGATGGAGGAGAATGATGAAGAGGCCGCACTGCTGGGCACACCTGTGACCCATTCGGTGCACCCATTGGTCGGGGGCTGTTATCAGTGGTTCTCAGCTGTGGTTGAACATTGGCATCACCTGGAGAGTTCTGCAAGCACAGATGCCTGCCTGAGTCATGCCCAGAGATCTGGCTTCATTGGTCTTGAGTGTAGACTGGCTGTAGCGATTTTAAGCATTCTCATGCAAGTAGTTAACAGCAATAAATTTTGCAAAAAAACAGGTGTAAATTGTAGCTGTTTTAGAAAACATTTCACCAAATGATGGCTTATCCTCTACTTTTTTTTTGAGACAGAGTCTCACTTTGTTGCCCAGGCTAGAGTGAGTGCCGTGGCATCAGCCTCGCTCACAGCAACCTCCAACTTCTGGGCTCAAGCGATCCTCCTGCCTCAGCCTCCCAAGTAGCTGGGACTACAGATCCCATTAGCCACCATGCCCGGCTAATTTTTTCTATATATTTTTAGTTGGCCAGCTAATTTCTTGCTATTTTTAGTAGAGACGGGGGTCTCGCTCTTGCTCAGGCTGGTTTCGAACTCCTGACCTTGAGAGCGATCCTCCCGCCTCGGCCTCCCAGAGTGCTAGGATTTACAGGCGTGAACCACCACGCCCCCGGCCTGATTTAGTTTTAAAGAATTCAAATAGCAGCATAAGCCATTCATAAAAATACTCTTTTACCTCTTCGGTATTCTGCTAGAGCCAGAGGTCACCAAACTTTTTAAACAGGGGGCCAGGTCACCGTCCCCCAGGCCGTTGGAGAGTTGGGGCACATTCCACACATGCGCACTGCGGCCCGGGACCAGTTGGCTGCTAAGCAGGACAGGCAGCGACAGCAAAAACACCCAGGGGGCCGGATACATGTCCTCGGCGGCCACATGGGGCCCTCCGGCCGTAGCTTGAGGACCCCTGTCCAGTGCTCAGATGAGCCCTCTCTTTCCTGGAGCAGACTGTTCCTCTGCCCTTCTTGTCCTGCAGGCTTGGGTCCACGTGCTGGTCATCGCTGGCAGTGTCCTGTCTTACTTTGTCTTCACCTTGGCCTTCGGAGCCCTGTGCGCGACGTGCAACCCGCCATCCAGCCCCTACTGGATCATGCAGGAGCACCTGCTGGACCCCGTGTTCTACCTGGTTTGCACCCTCGCCACCTGCGTCGCCCTTCTGCCCAGGTGCGTGCGGCTTCGTCATCAGGAGCCTGGGCGGAACCCCGGGCGCGGAACGCCTCCAGCCGCCGCTGCCAGTGGTTGGCGGGGCCGCTGTTTAGTGGCGGGGGGTCAGCCTGTGCACTGGTTGAAGTGCTGGCTTTATCTGTTTCACTAGAGGGGAAAAGTGGCTTCATTGAGCAAACTGGGAGGTTTGCGTCTCTCTCCTTCAAATCTCTAATCGGTCGGCAGTTCACAGGGTTACTGCAGCTTTTCTTTCTTTCTCTTTCTTTCTTTCTTTCTTTCTTTCTTTCTTTCTTTCTTTCTTTCTTTCTTTCTTTCTTTCTTTCTCTCTCTCTTTCTCTCTTTCTCTCTTTCTCTCTCTCTTTCTTTCTTTCTCTCTCTCTTTCTCTCTTTCTCTCTCTCTTTCTCTCTCTCCCTCTCCCTCTCCCTTCCCTTCCCCTTTCCTTTCGCTTTCCTTTCCTTTCCTTTCCCTTCCCTTTTTCTCTTCCCTTTTTCCCTTCCCTTTCCCTTCCTTTTTTCCCTTCCTTTTTTCCCTTCCTTTTTTGCCTTCCCTTTTTCCCTTCCCTTTTTCCATTCCCTTTCCTTTCCTTTCCCTT